TAAGTACCTGCTTGGCAAATTATAAATAGAACATCCGGGGTTGAGCGTATAATAGTGAAAAGAGCCCACGATACAAACAAAGTCATAAAAAATTGTTTGTCCATTGTCCCTAAAACGGGACAAGGTTTTGAAGAATTCCTTCGTCGAATTTTGATTTTATAAAGACGTTTATAAAGTGATGATGGTTACCAAAAAAATTAGAGAGTGATTTAATATTTAGTTTTATTAAATTTATTTCATCTAATGAAAAAATAATGCTCAACTTCCGTATTTACCATACAATACATCAGATGTTTGAGGCGTGCATTCGGACTTTTCCTTTTCCAGTTGTGTGAAAATTTATGTCATTCAGTGTGAGTTGTACTTATTTATACTAGGTAAGTTAATATCTAATAAAGTAATCATTTTAATTTTTACGTGTTTCTGTTATTTTTGATAACTGTACGTAGATAACAAAAGCAGTTTTTTCAGATAAGCTGGAAAGACCACCATTAATCACTGAAGATACTCCCACTGATTATGAAGAACTTACGGTGAATGTTTTTGAAAATGAGGCGCTATAAAATATTGCAAAGGTATGTTATGCAATTTTTTTATGAACTAATGCTAATGAACATAATTTTATTCTAGATTTGAAACAAATACAAAACACATGTGCCAAACTAAAGAAATGCTAAAGGAAACGAGTGAAAAAATCTCCAACCTGGAACGTCCTCAAATCTGACAACTGAAAAAGAAAACAAAAACAGAAATTATGCCGCCAAAACCACACCTAAACAAATTTTGACGAATTACAAGATTATGTTTGCATTTTACAACAAGCAGATTTCTTTGTAAGTTAAAAAAATACAATGAATTCATATATACACATACAACATTAATATTGGATATTATATACCGGTAGATGCCTGTAATACTACGATACTTTTTGGTAACTTACTATTTACACATACACATTTCGCTTCATTGTAAAAAGTATTGACAACGAGATTTTCCTGATAGGCTGTACGTTTTTGTCAATGCAACCATTTTACAATTATCCGTTAGATTCAAGTAAGTTTAGCATTTTTAAAATACAGAATTTGTCTACTGCTTTAAGCTGTAATCCCTTAAATTTAATAATAGTCAAATGCTTGCTATTGCCCATAGATGAAAAAATGATTGCATTTCCATTAATCCATGCACTCTAACGGGTTTTTCTTTTCGATGCAATAAATTGAGGCAAACTTAAAAAACTTAGGTTATTGATATGATTGTTAAAACAGAATTAATTACGTATACTGTGGTTTTACAGTGCATTTTCAATCAAGTAACTTCAACAACACGATTCAATTGTCTTTTCCCTTTATTCTAGTTTTTTTTTTAAATATTTTTGGTAAATAGATTTATTTGTGTTTTTAAGACTGATCTATAGTTTATTATAGTTTTTTTTTTTAATATTCTTTGTAACTAAATAGATTTCTTTGTGTTTTTAAAACTGATTTTTCTTTAAATAGCATATTTTATTGCAACGTTTATTTTTGATTATATATTGTACAATATCCTTTTTTTTGTTTATACTAATTGTACTTGTAATTATCTGTATGTAGATTTGTTTGTGCTCTTAGGAGTGGTTTATCTTTAATTTGTTTAATTGACATAATTTTTATTTGTTTATTGAAGTTCATTGTTGGTTGTACAAAATTGTAGTAAATTTAATTTTTTTACTCTAATTTGTTTTAACTTTAATTAATATATACTTTGTTTTGGGCTTTACTTGGTGATTATAACGAATTCTAATATTTTATTTAAGCTAAACAATATAAAAAAAATAAAATTATTTCAGGGTTTTATTTATTGCATATTTTTTTCTAAAAATCAAAACATAAAAAACGTCTTAAAATGGACAATAAATGCCGTCTCTAGGACGTCAGTAAATCACGTCAATAATTCGTTACAAAATGACGACTCTAAGACGTCAGTACATCACGTCAATAGTTCGTCAGAAAATGACGTCATCTAGACGAGACATTTGACCGTCATTGGTACGTCAATATCACGTGAAATCTTTGGTCACTATGACGTAATTGATGACCATTTATTCACGTGAAAAAAATGACATCATGTTGCCTGGGCTGTGGTCTGCAAATTAGAAACGCCTGGATAAAATTCGTACTTTTGGCTGTTCAATAACGGGATTTAAATCAAGCAGTATTTATGATTCATTTTTCCACCAAAATTGCATTTTTTGTAGCAAAAGACACTTGGTGACAGTCAGAAATTTCGTTGTTGAAATTGAAATTCACGACATCTAAATTAATCGTCAAAATGTCGGTAAAAAGGTTTAAAATCGATAAAACGTGGTAAATTTAGCTAAAATCGTACCTGAACACGGCTTTTCTATGAAAAAATCAGCTCAGAACACAACACAGACACCATCTTGAACAAGCTTAGTTTTGAACGGTTTTGAAGTTAGCCCGGTCTGTCAAAATTGTCGCCAACCAAAAAAAAAAAATTGGTCTAAAGAGTTTAGACAGTACTTCCCTCGCTGTCGCATGCCTATTGTGTTTTTTTTCTCATTACATTTTTGTAGTGGGAATTTAAAAAAAAAATTGCGATGACGTCATCAACATTTTTGCAAGGACACGTATATCAGTTGGGATAGATGTAGTGTAATACTAAGAATAAAATTATTATATTCTCAAATTTTCGGGAAAATGAATTGGGTCGTTTGAATATTGATTTGTAATAATCAATAAAATAACGAAACAATTTACTCACGTATACCTACGTATCAGAGGCAACTGAAAATCGTGTATGTATAAACATTCTTAATTTAAGATGACAGGCGTAACAGCATACGTGAGAGTCAAACAGAGAAACTGTAAACAAAACGACCATCGGTTTTATTGCTTCGACTTCCGCTTATTATATAAAACATTGGGTTTTATTTTAATTCTTGACGGTGAAATTCACAATTGGTTGATTATAAACATGTCTATTTCACATTCGCGGAATCAAGTGAACGCATAAAACAAATGCAGGTCTGTAATGTTAAAGTCGATGTAAATAAGCGTGCTACCCTTATGTTTCAACCGAGTTGTTCCTTTAACAAATTTTGTGTCTACCAAATTGGGTTGGTTGGGGTGTAATACTAATAATAAGTGTTGCCTTTAATTTAATCAATAAAATAAATTGACTTCATTAATTTTTTTGAACCACCTCTTAAGAAAATCTAAAAAATATGAATGGAATGATAAATCACGAGTACAAACTCATCATATTTTTTGCATTTTAGATAGGATTTATTCAGCAAAATTTAAGGGTGACGTCATCAATTTTTTTAGGAGGGATGAACAAATACATTTTGAACAAAAGTTTACCATGCTTATAATAACTTTAAAATATTCCCAAGATTTCAAAGCATTCGGTTTTGTAATTCCTGATTAAATCGATAAAATAAATTCACGCTTTCATTAATTTTTTTGAGTCACCCTGCATATGCAAATCCAAAAATATGAATGGAATGATAAATCACAAGTACAGACTCATCATATTTTGTACATTTTAGATACGATTTATTCGGCAAACTTTTGAGCAGACGTCATCAGTTTTTTGTAGAAGATAACCAAATATATTTTGACTAAAAATTTATTATGCTCTTTATAACCTTAAAACATCTGCAAGATTTCAAAGCATTCGGTTTTGTAGTTCCTGATTAAATCAATAAAATAAATTTACGCATTCATTAATTTTTTTGAGTCACCCTGTATATGCAAATCGAAAAAATTTGAATGGATTGATAAATCACAAGAAGAGACTCACCATATTTTGTACATTTTAGATAGGATTTATTCAGCAAAATTTTGTGGTGACGTCATAAATTTTTTAGGGGGGACGACCAAATACGTTTTGATAAAAAATTTACCATGCTTATGATAATTTTAAAATATCTTCAAGATTTCGAAGCATTCGGTTTTGTAGTTCCTGAGTAAATCAGTAAAATAAATTTACGCTTTCATTTATTTTCTTGAATCACCCTGTATATGCAAATCCAAAAAATATGAATGGAGTGATAGATCACAGTACAGACTGATCATATTTTGTACATTTTAGATATGATTTATTCGGCAAATTTTCGAGCTGACGTCATCAAGTTTTTGGAGGGGATAAGCAAATATATTTTGACTAAACATTTATTATGCTCTTTATGACCTTAAAACATCTGCAAGATTTCAGAGCATTCGGTTTTGTAGTTCCTGATTAAATCAATAAAATATATTTACGCATTCATTAATTTTTTTGAGTCACCCTGTATATGCAAATCCAAAAAATATGAATGGAGTGATAGATCACAAGTACAGACTCACAATATTTTGTACATTTTAGATATGATTTATTCCACAAACTTTTGAGCTGACGTCATCAAGTTTTTGGAGGGGATAAGCAAATATTTTTTGACTAAAGATTTATGATGCTCTTTATAGCCTTAAAACATCTGCAACATTTCAAAGCATTCTGGTTAGCAGATTAAAAATTAAATTTCAAAATGTTGTTTTATAATTTTGATTTTTTTTCCAAAAATCTGGACGTTTCGGGTGAAAAGTCGATTCAGAGTTGTAAACTACATGTGTAGGACTATGTTATTTTATACAATTGAAATCCCATTTACTATGTACAATTTTGAAGTGACGTCATCGCATTAGTGGTGGGGATGATTAGACAAATTTTGGTTAGCGTTTTACCATCTACATGATATTCTTAATATAAGTACAAAATTTCACAACAATCAGTCGAGTACTTTCGGAGATTATCTGTCTAATAAAAATCCGGGACGGCAGACGGACAGACGGACGGACAGACGGACGGACAGACGGACGGACAGACGGACAGACAGACGGAAATGGGAGACCTATTTCTTCGTCTTCTAGGGGTCATGAAAGATCGAGAAAACGTAAAAGTAGAGAGTCGGCCGACGGACTCGATTACAATACTTCCTTTGCTTACGCTCGGGAAGTAAAAATTAATAAAGCAATAATTTCAAAATTAAATTAATAGCGGTCTACAAACACCAAATTAAACAAATATATTATAAAAAATATCTTAAATTTCTCTTAACTCTTAACAAAGTATGAGACTAGCAATAAATTCGGCTTTAAAAAATGATCCTCAGTCGATGACGATTGTTGTCTCCTTTAGATTGACCACTGGTATCAAACCCGCCTCTGTACAAGTCTTACAACAGAATAGCGCGTGATTTTTGTGTGTACAGAAATCGATGCGACGACAATTGGCAAAGAACGGGTTGTCCTGGCAGTCGGGTTGGACGTCGGTTTCTAGAAAAAACCAAATCGAGGTCAAAATTTAACAAAACTGGCAATTCTAGTGGTTTAACAGACCTTCCGGATTCGTGTCGTAATTGGTTTCTATAGCCTCCACGGGGACCGACCAACTAGCAGATTGACCCACACCGTTGTAATTATACACCCCAAGATTTGATGATGTTACGGATTCTATATGAAGAGAGTGGTCTTTGCCTGTTTCGAACTGACTAGATTTGATAGAAATAAGAGTGTCAATGAACCACCAGTTTACAACAGGGAGAGGATAGCCGACGGCTAAATAGTTGAGGGTTAATGAAGAGTTTAGCGACACCACAACTTTTGCTTGACTCTCTGTTTCCACTATAGTTGCAGGCCGGTGAGGATCGTCTACTTAATTAAATTAAATTGGACCAAATTTTTATGTAGGGTGCAAGACTTACCAGTAACGACCAATTTTATTCGTTTCGTTATGGCTTCACCTGTAGTGTTGTCAGTGGTACATAGATATACTCCTGCGTCAGACTTTTCAAGCATATTTATCTGAAGCGATTGGTCCAGCTTGATCCTGTACTTAGCACCTCGAGTACCATCGATCTAATAAATAACATTAACATTCTTGTTGCACCTTCAGCGTTCATTACCAGTGTGTTATTTTTAGTCCAAGTTATCTTTGGTGTTCGGTTACCGGTAGTCGCACACTCTAAAGTGACTTGGTCACGAAAAAACCCGCGAACTTCCTGTTCAGTAGCTGCCAAGTCGTGTGCTTTGTGTGTTGCATTTGCTGTACAAAATACAAATTTGAAGATAAATATTCTGAGTTAGAGTGAATACATGCCTAAACACTCGCCAAACGTGGGATGATCGGGTAATATACAACCACCTCTGAAGTCATAGATACGTTAAGTTATTTTTTATCGTAACATCGCTCTACATTTTACCTTGCAGAAGTTGTTGATAGGTTTGTAGAAGCAGTGAAATTCATTACAAAGTCAATGTAATACGAAAATCTTGTGTACAAACCATATTGTTGACTATCACATCCACCAACAACTGTAGACGATAGTGGCGCAATACTGATGACGCCTATGATGTAGAATCTACCATTGTGCTCGGTCACCAGACCTCCGCCGCTATCGCCCTTACACACAGATTTGCCTGAAAATCGTTCCTACTAACTTTTCCAAAGATCTTTAAACAATTACCAGATTCTGAGAAACCGGCACATAGTTTATCGTCGGTCAGGTACTTAACAACATCTTCGGACAAGTTGCGTTCACACTCATCTTTACTTATAAGTGGAACTTTTAACGATTTAAGAACGTCTGAAGGGTTCTTATTTTCGGAAGTAAAGCCCCAACCGGTCGCGTAAGTTTGGTTCACACTGGTGGCATTTTCTAGTGACTGATGATAAAATTCTTTTTCCCAAACTACACAAACTGGTTGAACGTTGAGCGAAAGAACGAATGTTGTATTTGCAACTATTATTGCGATATCTCCAAAGTAATGTTGAACGTACCCTTTGTATTGTTTAGGAACATGCATTTCTTCTATCTGAAACCCAAAAAGCTGCGTAATGTTAATTTTGTGGTAATAGGTGTCTACAGTACTGAAGAAAATTGAGCTGCGTTGTCCCTCGAATCGTTGTAGCTGCGATAAGACTTGCCAACAGCCACTATGTAGTTTTCTTTCGGTTGTAGTTGACCTTTGTCGTTTGTGACGCAGTGTGCAGCTGTAATTGATCAGTTTGGAAACACATAATCAAACTGTAAAGACGTTATCACCTGTCAAGATTATCTTTTCACTCAGTAGTGTTCCTCCACAGAGTAATCTTTTGCTACTGTTGCAATATAAAACCGCCTGCCAAGGATATTCTAATGACGTTGTGTTGAAACCTCCCACCATTAAAGTAGGGTCCTTTGTAATGCCTTTTTTACCGCACACTTAAAAGAGAGACAGTTTTCCGTTCGTGCAAATGAAATAGTACTCATTTAAAAATTCGGTGAACCATTACCTGGTACGCATTCTGGAATACCACCACTCCACTGTCCCTCGGAACAATTTCTTATTGGAAACTTATTCAGCCCTTGGATTTCATAAAACGGGGAACAGTGGAAGTGTGCTCTCGTTCCTTCAACCACGTCCAAACAAGTTGCTAAAGTTTCCCTTTTGTAGGTACAACTAACTGTCGTAATAGTGGTGGTACGTAATGAAGGACAAGTACCTGTGGTAATACTTTCGTAATAATTAATTTTCAATCGGAAGCACCATAGTTACGTAAACATTGACCCACTTCGGGTCTCCATTGGCCCCGAATGCAAGTAGTGTTCTCACTACCATTTAATTTGTAACCGTCGGAACAACTGATTTCAAGAATGGTACCCACAGGCACGGCATCGCCCACAGATGGGGTAAGATTTGTTTTAAAGACGGTCCATCTACCAAATTTTGGGTGAGGTGGCAGTGTACACCTGAAAGTGTCAAGCAAGTGCATCAAAAACAAGATCAAAGAGATTTAATAATTACCTATTTATACTAGTTTGGGGTGTGCTGGCGTCTTTAATTCCATGTATATTTTTAACTAAAACATGAATATACCACAGACCAATGAGATCAACTTGTACAAACACCTGGTCGTTAAAAACTCCCCCTTGACTAACTACTTTTTTTATTATTTATTATTTGTACGGTCAACGGCGGGGGAGTTTTTAGTAATTTTTAGTAACTCACACAAAATACACAGTAGAATTACGTCCGTCAAAATTTTAATATTTTTTTGCATCGAAAATAAATGTATTATATACATTTGGAATAGATGAAGACTCGAGGATAACTAATCCTCCTCTTAATGAACATGCTTCTTTTGGATTATATATAACGTAATTTCCAAGAATATAATAAAATGTTATCAGCCAACATACAAAACAACCAAACCACAAAAATCCTAGTTGGAAAACAATTTCGATATATTTAAATGTAGGGATTTTGTTTAATTTCTAACGCAAAAGAAGTTGTTAGGGTCGTAATTCCAAAAACAACGCCCTTTTTCCTTAAATGCCACTTTGTGAATTATTTAATCGTAGTTTAAGTTTTCATTTAAAATCTTTCAATTTTTCAGTTATTAACTTTTCGATTTTTCAATTTTGGTCTAATTTGATTTCTTAATTTTTTAATTTTTGACTCCTCTACTGATTTTTCGGCTTTTCGAGTGTTCAATTTTTCGATTTTTGAATTTTGGATTTTTGTTTTTTTGATTTTTTTGGTGTTTAGATTTCCCAAATCTTCAATTTTTCGATACTTTAATGTTTCAATTTTTCGAATTTTTTAATTTTTGATTTTTCTTTTCTTTTATTTCTCAATTTTTGGATTTTTTAAATTTTATATTTTGGATTTCTCAATTTTTCAAGTTATCAATACTCAATTTTTCAGGATTTGAATATTGAGAACTTTTCAATCGATAATTTATGACAGGCGGCCCACAACATACCTTCAGCACAGAATAATCATTTCTCGTATTCTTTTGACATACTAATTTTAATATTCGAGATAATTATTATATTATTCAAACACAATTTAGACACTGTAGAGCAAAAATTTAAAAATTTATAAATCGAGAAATTGAACAATCTAAAAATTAAACAATTTAAAAATCGAAGAATTGGAAAACCAAAAAATCTAAACCGAGAACTTGAAAAATCGAATAATCGAGAAATCAAAACATCAAGGAAAACAATAAAATTAACGGAAAATCTAGAACTTACAAATTGAAAAATTAAAATACCTATCGAAAAATTGAAAAACCGAGAAATAGAAACATCAAAAAATGGAAAAATTGAAGAACCGAAACATTGCAAAATCTCAGAACTGAAATACTGAAAAACTGAAAAATGGAAGGAAAATTGAAAAATCGAAAAAGTGAAAAAATTCAAAACTGAAATCTTGAAAAACTGAAAAATGGAAAGAAAATTGAAGAATCGGAAAAGTGAAAAAATCCAAAACTGAAACATTGAAAAATCCAGAAATCGAAAAATTGAAAAATCACAATTGAAGAAAGAATTGAAAAATCAAGAAATAGAGAAATGAGAAAATCAAAAAATCAGTTAATCGAAAAATTGAAAAATCGAAAAATTTAGAAACGTCAAAAATTGAAAACTGAAAAATAAAAAAATTTAAAAATCGTAAAACTGAAATATCGTAAATCTAATAAATTGAAAAACTGAAAATTTTTGAAAAAAAAATTGTATCAAAAACTAAAAATTCAAAAAATCGAGAAATTGAACAATCAAAAAATCAAAACATTGACATCCCAGTAAGTTGATAAATAGGAAAATTTAAAAAAGAAAAATTTTATAAATCCAAGAATTGAACAACAAAAAAAATCTAAGCCTGAAAACTCAGAAAATTGAATGATCGAGAACAAAAAATCTAAAATTTAAAAATTCGACAAATTGGAAAATCATGGAACTGAAAAATCGAAAAGTCGAGATAGTGAGAAATCTAAAAACCTAAAACTTTAAAAACTGAAAAATTAAATTATCGAAAAATTTAAAAACCGAGAAAACACAATATCAAAAATTTGAAAAATTGAAGAAACGAAATATTGCAAAATTCCAAAGCTGAAATATTGAAAAACCTAAAAATGGAAGGAAAATTAAAGAATCGAAACAGTGAAAAAAATCCCAAACTGAAACATTGAAAAATTGAGAAATGGAAAAATGGGAAAATAAAAAAAAATGGTCTAAAGAGTTTAGACAGTACTTCCCTCGCTATCGGAAACGTGACGACTGCATGCCAATCATGTTTTTTTTTCACATTACATTTCAAAGCATTCGGTTTTGTAGTTCCTGATTAAATCAATAAAATAAATTTGCACATTCATTAAATTTTTTGAGTATCCGAATACAAAAAATATGAATGAAATGATAAATTACAAGAAGAGACTTATCATATTTTGTAAATTTTAAATAGGATTATACGGCAAACTTTTGAGCTGGCGTCATCAATTTTTTTGAGGGGATAAGTAAATATATTGTGATTAAAACGGTCCTGGTTTAATAACAAAAAAATATTGTTCGTCTATAAAACAAGCTCGTCTTAGACAAAGTATTCGTAAAAAAAATATGTCGTAAAAAAATTTACGTATGCTGGTCCCGACTGCGATTATGGTTTAAGTATTTTTTAGAAAATCCTGTCATGGATGTAGAAACATTTGTGACAGCCAAAGAGGTTTTTTTGAGAAAATTATCTTTGAATTCAGACGAAATTGAAATAGACACTAGGCAACAGGCACATTTGGGCAAAGGAAAGAGAAATTAGAGTTACTTCTTCAAATTTTGGACGTATTTACAAACTTAGACCGACTACAGCAATAGCTAAAACTGTGGAGTCTCTGTTGTACAGTACATTTAGAGGTAACAGTTACACATACTATGGACAGCAAAGTGAGGAAAAAGCTGTCAAGTGTTTTGAAATAAATAAAAATATAAAAACTGAACGGTCTGGCTTGTTTATTTCAAAACAATTTCCTTACTTGGCTGCTAGTCCAGACAGGGTTCTAGAGGATAGGAGTGCATTAGTCGAAATTAAATGCCCTTCAAAATCGCAAGATTTCTCTCCCGAAGAAGGGGTTAGAAAAAAAATAATCAAATTTTGTACATTGACAGACAGAGAATTGAAACAAAAAAAAATCCTGATTACTACTTTCAAGTCCAGGGACAAATGCTTGTTACGGGTATTTCACAAGTTTATTTTGTTGTATGGACACCCAAAAGAATAAATATAGAAAAAAATTATAAAGACGAAGAAATATATGTAAAAAGATGGCAGATAAACTTGGCGGATTTTACTTTGGCTCATTATTGCCTGACATAATTGATTCAAGAAGAAAGAGGAACCTGCCTTTGCGAGAGATTTTTTTTAAATAAATAAAATTTGTTTCTATTTTTTTATGTACTTTAATAATTTATTAGGAGTACATTTTTCATCACCAAGACTTGCATATTTTTATTATAAATATATTTTGAAAATGATCTCTCGGCAAATGAAAACATATACGAACACTTTTTTCGAGTAAACAATGAAGGGAAAAGTTACTGGGCGTAGGGCTTTTTTAAAACACCTCCTTTCTGGGATAAGTAGTAGATACACTTAGCTACTTATACGTGTTAAACTAAAGCTGTATTTTATATATTTTTTATTATTATTATAAATATGTTTATTAGTTTTATTAATTAACAAAGCAAAATATATATTAACAATAATATTACAATGAATTTTTAGTAATCATGTGTATTGAATTCAGGATCCTGAGTGGAGTAAAAATATTATAGTTCCTCAGTTTTAATTCGGTTTTATGATAGTACCTCATTGCGTAAAAGTTAATTTCGTTAACAATAGATTACTACGGCCGGTCCTGGCGGCTTGTTATAAAACTGAGTTCCTTGCCATAAATTAGAAAAATCAGCCGAGAACTCTAACAATCAGCTTATGGTAAAGCAGGCGATAAGGGTTTTACCTGGAAAGTCGCTTCCGTAAATTTTAGTGGCGCTCCTGTCGGCAAAGTACTGAACTAACTGCTCAAATTCTGTCGAATTGATACCCATTTTTTCCAATAATTGCTAGTTTTTGTTAAAAACTCTGCCAACCAATAGATCATTAATTTTCCTCTGATATTCCTGTTAAAATTATTCGACCTATTTTGCATTAATTTGTGGTATATTTTGATTTTAATAAACACATTATTATTTAAACAAATTGTACCACTAACAAACATTTAATGACTCTGCGCCCTGTAAAAAGTGATGTTTTATCCATGTGCGAATTTTCAAGCGATTCTATGATGGTTATGACTCAAAAAACTTGAAAAGAAAACATGCAATGGTGCTTTTTTACGATATTTCCCAGCCATATTTTTTTAGTTTATTGAACTGGTCTCTGCGCTCTAGAATATGAAAAAAGCTGCAGCTTGATGTATGATACATCTATATTAATATCATTTTTTTCATACAAAAAACCAAAAAAATGTGATGGAATAAATCTGATTAAAAATAATTATATTGTTAAATAAATAACGTTCACGGCTGTTATCATAACGTCCGTGGCTGTTATCGATGACATAACTTCCATGAAGAACTACGGATATGATCAAATAAAGAGATATGACTAAAACGTGTTATCGGTATGGTTAGAAGTTAGGATAAAATAATAGTCATTTATAATAATCAAGGAAGCAAAGTGAAACATTTCCTCCCGCGGATTCAGATTGAGGCCCGAACGAACGTTTACAATCAATTTTATAAAAGTTTAAATGAAAAAACTATTACCGCAATAAACTAAGTCATCTAGATAGTTTCTGTGACAATTTTTAAACAAATAAAAAATTAATTGCATTTGATGGCATTTGAACAAAGCGTCTCGTGAATTGTATTTTTGTGTTCCTTAAAACGCATTAATTTTGGAACAAATGGAGGATTTGGATGAAAGTAGTGCTTCAGATAATAATTGTACCCGTCCAGACGATTTAGAAGTGGCAAGTTTATAAATTTATAATAGTTATTTATATATTAAGCGCCGAAAATGAGACTTTGTATCCGAGCGTATTTGTAGCGCGAGAGCGAAGTTCGAGCGCCACAAAAGCGCGAGGATTGCAAAGCCGTTTTGGCGTGAGACATATACAACATTTTTTAATTACTATTTTCATTAATAAAAAAACTAGTGAAATTGTCTTGTAACAAAAATATGTTGCCACTACCTTCTCCGTTACCATAGCAATCAGTAACAATTCCGAAAAAATTTGATGAAAACTTTCAAACTGGTGCCGATAAAGTGAATTCGCGGTAAAATGAGTGATTTTGTACAAAAATACGCTGAAGAGGTATTGTCGGGGTTGCTTCCTGCGAAATCTCTCACTCGATACCAAGAGGAGCTTAAGAAATTCACAAAATGGTGCGACGAAAACAAAATTAAAAACAGACACACTGAGACGACGTGTATTTCAAACTCAAAGCATTTCTCAATAATAATGCAAAAATTATATTAAATTTCTCTTAGCAAAGTATGAGATTAGCAATAAATTACGCTTTAGAAAATGATACTCAATCGGTGACGATTGTTGTCTTCTCCTTTAGATTAACCACTGGTATCAAACCCGCCTCCGTGCAAGCCTTACAACAGAATCTCGCGTAATATTTGTGCGTACAGAAATTCGCCTTTACGATGAGACGACAATTGGCAAAGAACGGGTTGTCCTGGCAGTCGGGTTGGACGTCGGTTCCTAGAAGAAACCAAATCGTGGTCAAAATTTAACAAAACTAGTATTTGTAGTGGTTTAACTAGACCTTTCGGACTCGTGTCCTGATTGGTTTCTCTAGCCTCCACGGTGACCGACCAACTAGCAGATTTACCCACACCGTTGTAAGTTTGACAAGTATACACTCCAAGATTTGATGATCTTACGGATTCTATACGAAGAGAGTTGTCTTTGCCTGTTTCGAACTGACTAGATTGGATAGAAATAAGAGTGCCATTGAACCACCAGGTTACAACAGGGAGAGGATAGCCGACGGCTAAACAGTTGAGGGTTAATGAAGAGTTTAGCGACACCACAACTTTTCCTTGACTCTCTGATTCCAGTATAGTTGCAGGCCGCTGAGGACCGTCTACTTAATTAAATTAAATTAGACCAAATTTTTATGTTTGATGCAAGACTTACCAGTAACGACCAAGTTTATTCGTTTCGTTGTAGCTTCACGTGTAGCTTTCTCGGTGGTACATAGATATACTCCTGCGTCAGACTTTTCAAGCATAATTATCTGAAGCGATTGGTCCAGCTTGATCCTGTACTTAGCACCTCGAGTACCATCGATCTAATAAATAACATTAACATTTCTGTTGCACCTTCAGCGTTCATTACCAGTGTGTTATCTTTAGTCCAAGTTATTTTTGGTGTTGGGTTGCCAGCAGCCGCACACTCCAAAGTGACGTGGTCACCAAAAAGACCGTGAACTTCTTGTTCAGTAGTTACCAAGTCCTGTGTTTTGGGTGTTGCACTTGCTGTGAAAAATACAAATCTGAAGATAAATGTTCTGAGTTAGAGTGAATACATGCCTAAACACTCGCCAACATTGGACGACCAGAATTCGTTCTCGCAAAACAGGCTACCATGGCCACTCAAAGTATAATTCTGCTTACACTCTATTTTCAAAACAGTGCCTGGTACCACCAACGTTCCTGGCATAAAGTGATTGGAAGGTGCACCAAAGATGGACCAGTTGCCAAACATGGGATGATCGGGTAATATACAACCACTTCTGAAGTCATAGATACGTTAAGTTATTTTTTATCGTAACATCGCTCTACATTTTACCTTGCAGAAGTTATTGATACGTTTGTAGAAGCAGTGAAACAATCATCGTCAGTGCAATCTACACGTTGTTCGGAGCTGCAATATCGTTCAACTAATCATGCGATCGTTCGAAATTCAAAAAGTACTTACGGCGCAAATCTGGCTTCTACGTCTATTAAAAAGTCATCAATGTAATACGAAAATCTGGTGTACAAACCATATTGTTGACTATCACATCCACCAATAGCTGTAGATGATTGTGGCGCAATACTGACGACTGCTATGATGTAGTATCTACCACCGTGCTTGGTCACCAGACCTCCACCGCTATCGCCCTTGCACACAGATTTGCCTGAAAATCGTTCCTACTAACTTTCCAAAGATTTTTAAACAATTACCAGATTCTAAGAAACCGGCACAGAGTTTATCGTCGGTCAGGTACTCTAAATCATCTTCGGACAAGCTGCGTTCACACTCATCTTTACTTATAAGTGGAACTTTCAACGATTTAAGAACGTCTGAAGGGTTCTTATTTTCGGAAGTAAAACCCCAACCGCTCGCGTAAGTTTGGTTCACTCTGGTGACATTTTCTAATGACTGATGGAATTTTTTTTCCCAAACTACACAAACTGGTTGAACGTTAAGCGAAAGAACGAATGTTGTATTTGCAACTATTATTGCGATGTCCCCAAAGTAACGTTGAATGTACCCTTTGTATTGTCTAGAAACATTCATTTCTTCTATCTGAAACACAAAAAGCTGCATAATGTTAATTTTGTAGTAATAGGTGGTTACAGTACCGAAGAAAATTGAGCTGCGTTGTCCCTCGAATCGTTGTAGCTGCGATAAGACTTGCCAACAGCCACTATGTAGTTTTCTTTCGGTTGTAGTTGACCTTTGTCGTTTGTCACGCAGTGTGCAGCTGTAATTGATCAGTTTGGAAACAGATAATCAAACTGTGAAGACGTTATCACCTGTCAAGATTGTCTTTTGACTCAGTAGTGTTCCTCCACAGATTAATACTTTGGTTCTTTTGAAATATAAGGCCGTCTGCCAAGGGTATTCTAGTGACGTTGTGTTGAAACCTCCCACAATTAAAGTAGGGTCCTTTGTAATGCCTTTTTTACCGCATACTTAAAAGAGAGACAGTTTTTCGTTCGTGCAAATGAAACAGTACTCATTTAAAAATTCGGTGAACCATTACCTGGTACGCATTCTGGAATACCACCACTCCACTGTCCCTTGGAACATATTCTTATTGGAAACTTATTCAGCCCTTGGATTTCATAAAACGGGGAACATTGGAAGTGTGCTCTCGTTTCTTCAACCACGTCCAAACAAGTCGCTAAAGTTTCCCCTTTGTAGGTACAACTAACTGTCGTAATAGTGGTGGTACGTAATGAAGGACAAGTACCTGTGGTGGTACCTTCGTAATAATTAATGTTCAATCAGAAGTGCCATAATTACGTAAACATTGACCCACTTCGGGTCTCCATTGGCCCCGAATGCAAGCACTGATTGCACCACCATTTAATTTGTAACCGTAGTAACAACTGATTTCAAGAATGGTACCCACAGGCACGGCATCGCCCACAGATGGGGCAAGATTTGTTTGAAAGACGGTCCATCCACCAAATCTTGGATGAGGTGGCAGTATACAGCTGAAAGTGTCAAGCAAGTGCGTCAAAAACAAGATTAAACAGATTTAATAATTACCTATTTATACTAGTTTGGAGTGTGTTCGCGTCTTTAATTCCATTTATTTCTTCAACTAAAACATGAATATTTCGCAGACTAGTGAGTTCAAGTTGTACAAACACCTGGTCGTAAAAAACTCCTACCGCAGTTGATGCAATATTTTAGTTTCTTGTAACACCTACTCGAGAATAAAATCGCATTCAAAAATTTTTAAGTTGTTAGAGTGTTCTTGATTTTTGTTACATTAACAGCTACTTTTAGTGCATTACAAGAAGTTTAATAATGTAAGAGTGATTTGACATTCGATTATTATAGTTCATCATTCGATAAGATCGCGAAGGTCGGAGTTCACTCTGATAAATAACTATTTTTTAACACTCTGTATTTGTACGGTCAACGGCGGAGGAGTTTTTAGTTATTTTAGTAACTCACACAAAATACACAGGAGGATTACATCTGTCAAAATTTTAATATTTTTTTGCATCGACAATAATTGTATAACATACATCTGGAATCGACGAAGGCTTGACGATAACTAAACTTCCTCTTAATGAGCATGCTTCTTTTGGATTTGATATAGCGTAATTTCCAAGAATATTATAAAATGTTATCAGGCAACATAAAAAATAACGTAAACGCAAGAATTGAAAAAACCGTTTTCGATATTTTTGAATGTAGGGATTTTGTTTAGTTCTTAACACAAAAGAATTTGGTTAGAGTTGTAATTCTAAAAACAACTCTCCAATGCCCTTTTTTTTTAAATCGTACTTTGTGAATTATTTAACCGTCGTTTAAACATAAAGACAACCAAACCCTCAGTGAAAAATTTATATTAAAAATTTTCAATTTTACAATGTAATTAACTTAATTTAATAAATTACACACACTGTCAACATATATCTACAATTGTTTACGTGGAAACTAGACAACACATTAAATAGTTACTTTTGCAGAGTTCTTCTTCTTGTCTTGATCACACATCTGTAATACCTTAAGGATATTTGTAACCACTCTCAACCACTCTTCTTACCAACACTATCGTTCTTCACGCAAAGAGCAAGACATTCCTCTCTGGTCTCGAATCTGTTATTGTTACCCAAACAACCCCCATAGATGAACTGTGCGCAGTGTTTACCCTCTGCTTCATAGAACCATTGCGAATGATTCTTTTCGCACGGTCCAGACACCTTCGGAAGCTTGCATCTATCTAAATAAACACTTTAAACTCTTAGTAAAAAACAACACAATTAATTACCAAGTCCCTCAGGGTTGACGCATATACCAACACACTCCTCCTGAGTTTTAAACCGATTAGCGTTACCATCGCAGCCGCCGTACCAAAACCGAGAACACCCACCATAGTCCATATCAAAGAACCACCTAATAGAGTGGTTGCGACAGGACCCCCGTTCTTTCGACAGGCTACAACGCTCTTGCAAATTTTCAGGAACAATTTCGCAACCTTCAAAGTTTTTACTGGACACACACCCGCAACCCGTATAATTGGAACCCCTCGCAGGAGTTATGTCATCGGGACAGCAACCATGTGTCGTATATTCGCAACCACATCCTGCATTGTTGGGTCCTGTAGCTGTTGTGAGGTTGTCTGGACAACAACCGTATGCGCTGGACAGGAAACAATCTTCAGCAGTGGTGTTGAGTGCTGCACCTGCTGTGAACAAACGAAACTGAATATAAAGATTTTGGGGTAGAGGGAGTACGTGCCTAAGCACTCGCCAACATTGGATGACCACAATTCCTTCTCGCAAAACACACTACTGTGGCCACTCAGAGTATAATTCAACTTGCACTCTATTTTCAAAACAGTGCCTGGTACCACCAACGTTCCTGGCATAAAGTGATTGGAAGATGCACCAAGGATGGACCAGTTGCCAAACGTGGGATGATCGGGTAATATACAGCCACTTCTGAACTCATAGACACGTTAAGTTGTTTTTAATCGTAACATCGCTCTACAATTTACCTTGCAGAAGTTATTGATGCGTTTGTAGAAGCAGTGAAACAATCATCGCTAGTGCAATACACATGGTGTTCGGACCTGCAATATCGTCAAACAAAATCATTCAATCGCTCGAAATTCAAAAAGTACTTACGGCGCAAATCTGGCTTCTACGTCGATTAAAAAGTCTTCAATGTAATACGAAAATCTGGTGTACAAACCATATTGTTGACTATCACATCCACCAATAGCTGTAGACGATTGTGGAGCAATACTGACGACGGCTATGATGTAGTATCTACCACCGTGTTTGGTCACCAAACCCCCGCCGCTGTCTCCCTTACACACAGATTTGCCTGAAAATCGTTGCCACTAACTTTTCCAAAGATTTTTAAACAATTACCAGATTCTAAGAAACCGGCACATAGTTTATCGTCGGTCAGGTACTCTAAATCATCTTCGGACAAGCTGCGTTCACACTCATCTTTACCTATAAGTGGAACTTTCAACGATTTAAGAACGTCTGAAGGGTTCTTATTTTCGGAAGTAAAGCCCCAACCGCTTGCGTAAGTTTGGTTCACTCTGGTGATATTTTCTAGTGACTGATGGAATTTTTTTTCCCAAACTACACAAACTGGTTGAACGTTAAGCGAGAGTACGAACGTTGTATTTACGACTATTATTGCGATGTCTCCAAAGTAATGTTGAATGTACCCTTTGTATTGTCTAGAAACATACATTTCTTCTATCTGAAACACAAAAAGCTGCATATTGTTAATTTTGTGGTAATAGGTGGTTACAGTACTGAAGAAAATTGAGCTGCGTTGTCCCTCGAATCGTTGTAGCTGCGATAAGACTTGCCAACAGCCACTATGTAGTTTTCTTTCGGTTGTAGTTGACCTTTGTCGTTTGTGACGCAGTGTGCAGCTATAATTGATCAGTTTGGAAACAGTTAATCAAACTGTGAAGACGTTATCACCTGTCAAGATTGTCTTTTGACTCAGTAGTGTTCCTCCACAGATTAATACTTTGGTTCTTTTGAAATATAAGGCCGTCTGCCAAGGGTATTCAAGTGACGTTGTGTTGAAACCTCCCACAATTAAAGTAGGGTCCTTTGTAATGCCTTTTTTACCGCACACTTAAAAGAGAGAAAGTTTTCCGTTCGTGCAAATGAAATATTACTCATTTAAAAATTCGGTGAACCAATACCTGGTACGCATTCTGGAATACCACCACTCCACTGTCCCCTGGAACATATTCTTACTGGAAACTTGTTCAGCCCTTGGATTTCATAAAACGGGGAACATTGGAAATGTGCTCTCGTTCCTTCAACCACGTCCAAACAAGTCGCTAAAGTTTCCCCTTTGTAGATACAACTAACTGTCGTAATAGTGGTGGTACGTAATGAAGGACAAGTACCTGTGGTAGTACCCTGGTAATAATTAATTTTCAATCAGAAGTACCATAATTACGTAAACATTGACCCACTTCGGGTCTCCATTGGCCCCGAATGCAAGCACTGATCGCACCACCATTTAATTTGTAACCGTAGTAACAACTGATTTCAAGAATGGTACCCACAGGCACGGCATCGCCCACAGATGGGGCAAGATTTGTTTGAAAGGCGGTCCATCCACCAAATCTTGGATGAGGTGGCAGTGTACAGCTAAAAGTGTCAAGCAAGTGCATCAAAAACAAGATCAAAGAGATTTAATAATTACCTATTTATACTAGTTTGGGGTGTGCTGGCGTCTTTAATCCCATTTATATTTTTAACTAAAACATGATTATACCACAGACCAGTGAGATCAAGTTGTACAATCACCTGGTCGTAAAAAACTCCCCCCTTGACTAACTACCGTAATACACTATTAGGAGTATTATAGTTCATCCTTCAACAAAACAACAAAATCGCGAAGGTCGGAGTTCACTCTGATAAGTGATAAACAACTATTTTTAAACACTCTGTATTTGTATGGTCAACGGCGGGGGAGTTTTTAGTTATTTTTAGTAACTCACACAAATTACACAGGAGTATTACATCCGTCAAAATTTTAATTTTTGTTTGCGTCAAAAATGATCGTATTACATACATTTGGAATAGATGAAGACTTGGGGATAACTAATCCTCCTCATAATGAACATGCTTCTTTTGGATTTGATACAACGTAATTTCCAAGAATATAATAAATTGTTATCAGCCAACATACAAAACAACGCAAACTGCAAGAATCGTAGTTGGAAAAACCATTCCGATATGTTTAAATCTAGGGATTTTGTTTAATTTCTAACGCAAAAGAAGTTGTTACAGTCGTAACTTAAAAACAACGCCCTTTTTCCTTAACTGGCACTTTGTGAATTATTTAACCATAGTTTAAGCATCAAGACAAACACATCATCAGTGAAAAATTTATATTAAAATTTTCAATTTTACAATGTAATGTATACATTTTGACATTCAAAAGTCATAAAAAGTTTAACATAATAGTCAGACGACAGATTAAACTGTTACACACACGTCTGTAACACCTTAAGGATATTTACCAACACTATGGCCTTCCACGCAAAGAGCAAGACATTCCTCTTTGGTATCGAATCTGTTATTGTTACCGAAGCAACCCCCATATATGAATTGTGCGCATTTTTTACTCTTCGCATCGTAGAACCACTGCGGATGTTTCTCATCGCATTGTCCCGACACCTTCGGAAGCTTGCATCTGTCTAAATAAACACTCTAAACTCTTAGAAAACAACAACACAATTAATTACCAGGTCCTTCAGGTTTGACGCATATACCATCACACTCCTTCTTAGTTTTAAACCGATTGGCGTTACCATCGCAGCCGCGGTACCAAAAAGGTGTACACTTACCTAAGTCTATATCAAAGAACCACTTAACAGTGTAGTTGCTACAGGACCCCGGTGCCATCGGGAGGCTACAACTCTCTTGCAAATTTTCAGGAACAATTTCGCAACCTTCAAAATTATCACCGGTCGCGTTCGTGTTACCGTCTAAAGTTTCATCTTTGTCTGTACGAGTAGTGCAATTAGAAGCACTATAACTACGTAAACATTTGCCCATTTCAGGCCTCCATTGGCCCCGAACACAAGCAGTGGTCTCACTACCATTTAATTTGTAACCGTTGTAACAACTGATTTCAAGAATTGTACCCACAGGCACGGCATCGCCCACAGATGGGGCAAGATTTGTTTGAAAGACGGTCCATCCACCAAATTTTGGGTGAGGTGGTAATAAACAGCTGAAAAGTGTGAAGCAAGTGCAAAACAAGATCGATTAAAGAAAGTCTTATTGTCCGAAAACTTAATTAATAATTACCGGCTTCTACTAGTTTGGGGTGGAAGAGTACTGTTCTCGTCTTTAATTCCATTTACATTTTTCACTAAAACATAAATATACTGCAGGATAGTGAGTTCAAGTTGTACAAAGACCTGGTCATAAAAAACTCCCGCCGCAATAGTTATAGTCAGTGTAGTAACATTGACTAACCGTTACTTTAAGCTACAAATTAACACTGTTTTGACACGACAAGATTGCGAAGGTTGTAGTTCACTATGATAAATAATCAATTTTTAAACACTTTGTAGCTGTATGATCAACGGCGGGGGAGTTTTTAGTTATCTTTAATTAGTAACTCACACAAAGTACACAAGAGGATTAGTTCCGTCAAAATTTTGCTGCGTTTTTTCATTGAAAATAGTTGTATCCCATACATCTGGAATCGACGATGACTTGACGATAACTAAACCTCCTCTTACTTATTATTTGACATAACGTAGTTTCCAAGAATATAGTATGTTAACGCAAACGCAAGAATCGTAACCAGAAAGAACATTTTCGTCATCTATAAATGTTTAGTTTCTTAAGGTCCTTTTGTCCTTAAACCACACTTCATGATTTTTATAACCGTAGTTTAAGCATGAACACAAACAAGTCAGTGAAAAATTTATATTAAAAATTTTCAATTTTACAATGTAATGAACACATTTTTACATTAAAAAGTCATAAAAATATTAACGTAATTTTTATATACATACATGAGTTACATCAATAAATTGCACACACTGTAAAAATATATCTACAATTGTTTACGTGGAAGTCAGACGACATATTAAGTACAAAAAAAATTGACGAAGCATACACGTTCTTAAAAACCTAAATTTTGTTAGTCAAATAAAAAAATACTTTCCGTAACTCTTAACAAAGTATGAGACTAGCAATAAAATACGCTTTAAAAAATTTATACTAAGTTGTTGATGAGTGCTGTCTGCTTCTCACTGCTGGATAAATGAGACCCATCCACTGGTAACAAGCCTGCCTCTGTGCAAGACCTACAGCAGAACTTCGCGTAGTATTTGTGCGAACAGAACTTCGCCTTTACGATGAGATCACAATTGGCAAAGAACCGGTTGTCTTTGCAGTTCGGGTGGATGTAGATTCCTGGAAGCGACAAAATCGATATTGAAATTTAACAAACCGTAGCGAACTTACCGTCCACCAGGATCGTAACACTGCTGGATGCTGTCGAATACGCATTCGCGGCTTCACACTGGTAAACGCCAGAGTCTGCCTTCGAAGCTTTCAAAATCGTCACAACATGATCGTCTACAAGCAAGACAAATGTAGCTAAAAGCAACTACATACTACTACACTAGTACCTGAAACGCGAATCCGATCAGATGGTACAATGGGGATACCATCCTTGTACCACTTGACTTGTGGCATAGGGTACCCATGCACGACACATGGGAGAGAAATGTCCGCGTTCGTTGGAAACCGTTGACTCTCGGACGTGATGTTCGTCTCCACAGGCACTGCGTCGGACAAACTTAGTTAGAATTGGGGCACTTATAGTTGTGTGCAAAATCAGCTGACTCGGCGAACATTGAGTCCACTGAGTCAGCTGAATTTGACAACGCTGGTCTTTGTTAAAACAGGTGTATGGTTAAACTATGAGTGTGTCACTAGTTGTTAGAAAGATATCGAGCACTTTACCAAAATTAGGAGGTCCCTGAGGTGCTGTGTCCCTGTTCGGATTAATCTCGTTATTTGCAGGCGGTAAGTAAGGGGGAGGAGTAGGTCTAAAGACAGGCTGGGCTACAGTAGGAGCCACAGTCGTAGGTAGTTCAGGTGGATTCACTATATATTTTAGGAACTTCTGGTCTTTGGGGTTCGTGCTGTGGTATGGTCCTCTAGCCTTCACGGTGACCGACCAACTAGCAGCTTTACCCACACCGTTGTAAGCTTGACAAGTATAGATCCCAAGGTTTGTTAATTTAACGGAATGTATGAGAAGGGAATAGTCTTTGCGTACTTCGAACTGACTAGTTTTTAGAGGGATAAGACTGTCATCTTTCCACCAGGTTACGGCAGGGAGGGGATTGCCTACTGCTAGACAGTTGAGGGTTGCTGGAGCGTTAAGTGACACCACAACGTTTGGTAGAGTCTCGGGTTCCAGTACGGTTGCAGGCCGGTGAGGACCGTCTAGTTAGTTAGTTAGATTAGATTAGACAAATTCTACCACACATGATTAGAACAAGTGTTAAATTAGCTCAAACAAGAAAAATCATAGCTACATGTGATGCAAGACAAAACTTACCGATGACGTTCAGTTTTATTTGATTCGTTAAAGGTTCACCTACGCTATTTTCGGCAGTACAAAGATACACTCCTGCGTCAGTCTTATGAAGCGTAATGATCTGAAGCGATTGGTCTAACTTGATCCTGTACTTAGCTTGAGTGCCGTCGATCTAAGACACAAAAGTTAGTAACTTTGCACCACCTTCGTTTCTAATTAGTCATTACCAATAAATCGTCCTTCTTCCAAGTTATCCTGGGTGTGGGATTACCGGTAACCGCACACTTCAAAGTGACGTGGTCTCCAAAAAGCCCCTGAACTTCCGGTTCGTAAGATTCCAAGTCAATCTTCGGGGGTGAAACTGGAAGTCGTAGTTTTAAAACACTTGAGGAACGTTTTTGTCAACTTACAGTCGCTTTGGACGGGCGCTTCGGTGTACACCGGTGCGTACTGTGTTACCAACTCTGCAGGTGGTACTTGAGACACCGGTTCCACGCACGAGGTACCACAACCGGTGGTGCAACACTTGAGGTGCAGAGGACAGTCGGCGTCGTTTCTACATTCCTGTTCGCACTGATCTTCCTCGTGGCGTTCCAAACTCGGGCACTGGCCTTGTTTATTAACTGAAAATCGCGTCATTCCAGGATTGGAACAATGGTACTAACAAAAATTTACTCTCTCGACAAATCGCAATGAAATCTGGGTCCTGGCTGCTGGTCCTGTTGCGGTTGATATCAATAGCACACTGCGACTCCCGTGGACAGTCCACCTTGCTACACGGATTCTGGCACTGGCACCGGTTGCACTGGTTGTCGTCCACGTAGGCCTCGATGCCGTAAGGACACCTCAAAGTGGCGCATTCGTCGAAGTGCGCTTGACACGGGTGATCTTGAGGACCTGCCGCTGTACAACACAACCATTAAAAAACAACCTCAAGCAAGAATGAAGAGTAAAGTGAAAAAGCTCAGCGTGGTCCCAATAACAGCGTGTGCATTGTGTGCAAATGTGAATAATAACGGCAAAACTTACGAGCTTGAGTTACTGTCAAATAATCGTTACAGAATTCAACGCAAGACTGGAATGTTTTAAAATTATTTAAATTTCCCCCGCAACCACTGAATATGAAGGCTATGCATTCGCCACGTGCATTATCGAAGTACCACCTCTTATGGTACCCATCCTGACAAGTACCCTTATCCACAGGCAATTCGCAGGCAACTAGGAAGAATTAGTGTTTTATTCAACCATCACCCAGAGTGAAGAGAGTGCGAAAAACTCGAAGTACTCACCGGTACTGGTCACATTCGTGCGTTTCTCCTCGTGCGTTACGCAGATTGACTCGCACTCTTCGTTCGAGCTGAACCTGTTGCCGTTGCCTCCGCAGCCACCGTAAGCGAACTGGCCGCAGCGGCCCGCTCCTTTGTCGTAGTAGTATTTGACGAAGTACCCCTTGCACGGACCTTTGTCCCTCGACATGTTGCAAACATCTTTAAATCAAAAAATCAGAAAAGTGCGATGCGAAATCAACCAAGTACCTTGTCCCCGGAAGCTGCCGCACTGTCGTTCGCACTGTTCCTCGCTGGCGAAGCGATTACCATTACCCCCGCACCCTGTATACGTGAAAGGAGTGCACACCCGGGTGGCTGCGTCGTAGAAAAAGACCGAAAGGGTGTCCGTACAGTTTCCGGCATCGGCTTGTTCGTAGCACATTGCGACGTTGCTGGGAATTGTGGGTACTACTTAATCAATGACGGTACTGTCACGACACGCCGTACTTACCCGGAGGTGCTTGCGTCTGGATAGGTTCCTCCCTAGTCGGCGGAGTCCTCTTACATCTTTGTTCGCACGACGCTCGATCCGGGAATCTGTTATAGTTGCCTTCGCAGCCTCCATAGATGAAAGAGTTGCAAGTATCGGTACTCGCGTCGTAGTAGAACTGCTCGTATTCCGCATCGCACGGGCCTACGACCTGAGGCAACCTACACAGATCTTCAAAGACAAATAGTATGCCAGTGTGTATGTATATGGAGGGTGGTACCTTGCGCGTTGCCACAATGTTGCAAGCACTGATCCACCGTGGCGAAGTTATTTTTGTTGCCTCCGCAGCCGCCGTAAGTGAAACGTTTGCAGACGCCATCTCCACTGTCATAGTGGTAGCGGAGTTCCGCGATTCGGCAAGTCCCGGGTTCGCTGGGTAAGAAACACGAAGCTACGAAAAGTGGGTTAGAGATTGTTTAATCCTTTTTGGTGAGTACCTGTGGTGAATGGTTCTTCGGACGGCTGTGGTGGTCCTGGTGGTCCTGGCGGTCCTGGCGGTCCCGGTGGTCCAGGCGGTTCCGGTGGTTCTGTAATTCGCGATGGTACTCTCTTGTCGCATCTTTGTTCACACTGTTCTTGCGTTTCAAAGTTGTTGCCGTTTCCGTCGCAACCGCCATAGTAGAACTGACGACAACCTTTCTCCCTCGTGTCGTAGTACCACCGACTGGTATAAGTTCCGCAAGTGCCGATATCGGCAGGCAGTTGGCACAAATCTTTCTCTGCGTGACGAAAGTTGTATTAGTACGTGTTGGAACTATTATTGTCGAGGATTAGTAACAGTGCAACGTCCACTCACCAATTTCCTTCGGGCAATCAGTTTCGCATGCTTCTCTACTGTTGAAGTTATTGTTATTACCATTACAACCGGAATAGTAAAACGGCAAGCATTGTTTTTCAGGAATGTCGTAGTACCATCTGGGTTCCCTCCCCGTGCAATTACCCTGAGCTCTCGGAAGAGAACAGTGATCTAACACGCAAGTTAGTGAATTATTTACGACTCATGCTTTCAATCTAAGGTTATCACATGCAGTCTACGAGGGTCCAAAGTACTTACCTTTTTTACGACCCGGTTGGGTACACTGTTGCTTACAGGCTTCCTCTGTCGGGAAATTATTATTGTTGGCTTTGCAGCCTCCATAGATGAATTCTCCACAGGTTTTGGTGTTTTTGTCGTAGTACCACCTTAAATAGTTACCTTTGCAAGGTCCTTCATCTTTCTCTTGTTCACATGCGTCTGTAATACCGATGTTAAGGTTATTTGCGATCACTCTCAAGCATGGTAGCCTTACCAACACTGTCGTCCTTCACGCAAAGAGCAAGACATTCCTCTCTGGTCTCGAATCTGTTATTGTTACCCAAACAACCCCCATAGATAAACTGTGCGCAATGCTTCCTCTCCGTATCGTAGAACCACTGCGGATAATACCCTTCGCACGGCCCAGGCACCTTCGGAAGCTTGCATCTGTCTAAATAAACACTTTAAACTCTTAGAAAACACCAACACAATTAATTACCAAGTCCTTCAGGTTTGACGCATATACCATCACACTCCTCCTTAGTTTTGAACCGATTGGCGTTACCATCACAGCCGCCGTACCAAAACCGAGAACACCCACCGTAGTCCATATCAAAGAACCACTTAACAGTGTAGTTGCGACAGGACCCTCGTTCTTTCGGCTGGGTACAACTCTCTTGCAAATTTTCAGGAACAATTTCGCAACCTTCAAAGTTATCACCCGTCGCTTCTGTGTTACCATCTGGACAACACCCGAATTTACTGGAATCGCAACCGCACCCTGCGAAATCAGGACCTTGAGCAGGAGTCCTGTCGTCCGTACAGCAACCAAATTCGGTGTTTCGACACCCACAACCTTGCTGGTGCGGTCCTTTGGCCACCGAGAGGCCATCTGGACAACACCCGAACTGGAATGTGTGACAGAGGCAGCCTTGGTAGTCGGGACCAGCCGCTGGGGTGTATTCGTCGGGACAGCAACCATGTTCGGTGTATTGGCACCCACAACCTTCGTTGTTGTGACCTCTAGCTGCTGTAACGTTGTCCGGACAACACCTATAAGGTGAGTATTGACAGCCGCAGCCTTCAAGATTGGGTCCTCTGGCTGGAAGTATGTTGTCTGGGCAACAGCCATGTGGGCTTGCAAGACAGCAGCCTTCACCGCTGGGGCCGTGTGCTGGAGTGATTTTGTCAGGGCAACAACCGAATGGATTGTCAGAGCACGGCATTCTGCAGCCTTCGTAATTTGAGCCTTCAGCTGGTGTAACACCGTCTGGACAACAACCGAAGAAGGCTTCGTTGCAGTCGGTGATGTTGCAGCCTTGGTAGAATTCACCCTCGGCGGCTTCGAAGCCGTCGGGGCAACAACCAAACGTAGAGTTATTGCAATCTTCCCCTTCCCACTCTGTGGTACTCGAAATCGTAGTACTATATTCTTTCTCCTCCTCTTCTTCTTCGCAACCTTTATAGTTAGCTCCTTGCGCTTCAGTGACGTTGTCCTTACAGCAACCGTATTCAGACAACGTACAAGCCGGAGGTGGTGGTGGACAACCTTCATCATCGTTACCCTCGGCGATGGTTGTATTATCAGGGCAGCATCCAAACAACGTTTCGTTACAATGCGTCTCAGGACACCCTTTGAAGTCGGGTCCAAAAGCGGGGGAAACTTCGTCCTCGCAACAACCGTACTTGGATTCTTTGCAGGTTTTAGGGTTAGGGCAACCTTTGTCGAAAGGTCCTTCAGCTGGAGTAATTTTGTCCCAACAGCATCCATACATTGTCTCCTTACAAGTCTTTTGTTTCTTTCTCTTACACATTTTGTGTTTCGTGGGTTTCAAAATTTCCACCAAGGGAGTGGTTTCCCACAGTTCAGTGCTCTCTTCAGTAACACCGCTTTCAGTGGTCGACGACCAAATGTCGATTTCCGTTGCTTCAGTACCAGCCGAAATTTCAGTGGTAGGTTCCGGAGATTCCGCTTTAGCTGAAACGTCGGTGACTGCTTCAGTAGTAGCACCTTCTTCGGTGGCTGTTTCAGTCGTCACACGTCCTTCAGTGGTTTCTTCAGTAGTCACACCTTCTTCAGTTGTTGCTTCCGGTGCTTCTGAAGACACTACAGGTGCTTCTGAAGACACAACAGGTGCTTCTGAAGACACGACAGGTGTTTCAGAGCTTTCAGGAGTTTCGGTAGCAACCTCCGAACTAATTTCACCAACAGTACTACTTTCCGTACTTTCAACTTGTTCGGTGGTAACTTCAGAACTGATTGCACTTTCAGACGATGCCATGCCTTCAGTGGTGCTCGAAATTTCCTCCGTGCTACCTTGCGTCGTAGGAGCCTTGGTTGTTTCCCTTTCAGATCCAAGATCTGATTCTCCAATGAACACTTCGCCTGAGTCTTCCGTTTTCTCACTTGTGGTTGCCACACCCGCTTCTTCTGTTGTAACTTCTGTAACCGCTGAAGCAGACTCTGAAGTTGCTTCACTACTTTCAGACACATCAGTGGACGAGCTGCTATCAGTGACTGACTCCACAGACGACGATTCGCTTTCAGAACTTTGCGAAGAAGTGACTTCGGTACTTTCCGTGACGTCGGTTTCTTCGGCACTTGTACTTTCCGTGCTTACACTGCTTTCTGTAGCTTCACTGCTTTCGCTCGTTTCACTAGTTTCTGTCGTCACGGTTGTATCAGTACTGTCTGTATCTTCAGTAGCTTCAGTGTCTGTTGTTTCATCAACATCTGAAGACGTACTAGACTCGGAAGAACTAACAATGGCTGAACTTTCAGACGCTACCTCTGAAGACGTGGCTATGGATTCAGACGGTTCTGTCGTAGCTCCGGATTCGGATAATTCCGTCGTACCTTCGGATTCAGACAGTTCCGTCGTTCCGCCCGACTCAGCTTCTTCCGAAGTCGTTACGTCCGATGAAACAGAAGACACTATTGACGAATCGGTTGTAACTTCCGGGGACTCTGACGAAGCAGGAGCCGACACGTCAGTAACACCAGAAGACTCTGTCGATTCATCACTAGCCGCTGTTGTTTGCTCAGAACTCTTGTCGCTAATTTCAGTTCCTTCGGGCTCACTTACTGTGGTCACTTCTTCTCCAGGTGGTTGACTTCCCAAACTAGACGCCTTTTCTGGTTCTATCGGGACATCAGTTTCAATTGTCCAGGGTTCGGTATCCCCAGATCCTTCCACCGTGGACTCCATAGCGGAAGTAGTACCTTCAGAATCACCCGGCACACTTGTAAGTTCCTGATCACCCGAACCCGCAACTTCGGTGTCTTCGCCGCCTCCTGGGGAAGACGGAGCATCACTGAGCATGAGATCGTCCATCGACAAGTCGGTTTCTTTCGACCAACCGGTCACACTCGATTCGGTACTCGCACCCAGTTTATCGTCACCCTGTAATAAAATCAATTAAGAATAAGCAAAAATTGTTACAGATGTGGGTACCAGCGCCTTGGTGGCTTCTTTGAGGGCGGCTGGTGCCCTTGCTTTGAGGGCAGCCGGCGCTGAGACTTTAAGGGCCGCCGGTTCCGCTTCTTGTTCCACCCATTCGCCGTCGTCACACTCATCAGATTCTACAATTTCGTACTCGTCCGGTTTTTCTTTGTCGCTTGGCGTGGATTCTATGTCAACCGACGTAGTGAATTCTTTAGATTCTGATTCGTCGACCGACTTGGTGACGTCAGTTGGGATGATAGTGTCTAGAAGAAACGAGGGGTTAACTTTGGAAGCAAAAATGGGTGGAGGTACCTTCGGAACAAGGTTGTGAGTTGCATTCTTCCTTGCTGAAGATAATCGTGTCTGGGCTGCACTGAGAAGCGTCAACGACCTGGAAGTCTTTCAAACAAACCACTTTCTTGCTTCTTTCGCCACCTCCACAAGGTTTGGAGCAGTCGGTCCAGGGGCCGCTGTACCATTCCCCTGGACACTTTTCCACCTCCCCGGTACAGTTCCTGATGGTTTCGTAGGTCTTGTTAGAGTCACACTTTTCGTTTTCGACTTTTTTAACGGTACCACCTTCAGTGACGAGTCCGCAGAACAAAGTACGAGTTTGTACACCTTGTCCACATTGAGCAGAACACTACTAATTCCAATACAATAAGAAGAAACTAGGACAATCGATTTATAATCACCTCGCTCCACTGCGACGCATACCAGTTATAGTCACACTGTGCCTTAGTTCCATTGCACTGTCGTACCATCTCTGGTTTTCGTTCGGCGTCGCATAAATCGTCTGGGTACACTTGTCCGGCAGCCGTAGCACACTTAACTTTCCGTGTCTCATTGGTCAACCCACACTTGTCACACTGGAAACCCTTCTTAACCAAGTCCACACCAACTAGTACCGACTTACCCCACTCCATACGGAATTAATCCAGTCGACACCCTCACAAGGCCTTAAATTGCACTTTCTTTCACTCTCGGGCTTCTCTTCGATTGCGGTACACTCCGAATCGTCCACAACCACAATCTTGTCGTTCTCCTTCCGGTAGCAAACCACTTGACGTTTTTCTTTGCCGTCACCACACAAGTGGTCACACTAGGTACTACATCAGTATAGCGTCTCGTATGGACCGGAATACTTACGGGTTTCCACGGCCCAGCGTGCCACTTCGAACAAATCCTACCCTTGTTGCAAACTTGTTGCTGGGGAGGTTTAGCTCCTGTTTTAAGACACTCGGATTCGTCTACCAGAGACGGGTACCCATTGGAGATGATCTGCTGGCAGGCGATCTCTCTGGTTTGAACACCGCCATCGCCACACGGAGCCGAGCAGTTGCCCCAAGGGTACGGCGTCCACTGGGCTTCGCACGCGATCTCCGCGCACTTTTGACTGGTGGCTGGTTTGTTGTTGACGTCGCAGAGGCTATCGTCGGCGGGCTCTAGGGTCTTGCGACCGGCGCAGGTTACGTTTCGGTGTTGGATACCTGGAAGATGTTGTATGTAAAGGGACACTAAGAAAGATAGAGGTGTGGGTATTGGTACCTCCGCCGCACGTCGCGCTACAAGTCGTGAACTGGTCGAAAGTCCAGGCGTAGGTTTCCGTTTCGTAGCCAGGTTGGATGTTAGTCGGAAGACTGTATTCGTAGTCTACGCCAACGTTGCGGTCTTGGAACAACATCTAAAACCCTCAATGTAGCTCTACTTGACTGGAAATAGTGAAACGTACCACAATGAAGAGGGGCTCGTCTATAGGTCCCAAGCAACTTATTCTATCAGGGGCTGAAAACCCTTGAGGGTTTCTCTCGTAGAGGAACCTGCACCCGGCGAAGTCCATCGACCTGGGGAAATCTATCCGCCAGTTCCCGTTGAGGTAGTAGTGACCTGAGGTGTTCCGAACCGCCAGATAATTATTGGAAGGTGCGACTTCTGCAACTAGAATGTTCGTAGCGCCCCCTGGTATCAAAAGAATGTCGTTGTATCCCACTTGGAGGTCTTGCATATCCAGACGCCCCGTCACCGTCTTACACGTACTACCATCGCCTCCACAAATCCTACAGCGATCTTCCCGAGCCGGTGAACCCAACATCATGTCGCACCCCACTGGCTACAAGAAACAGCTTAATTTTGACCCTCCAAACCCTCACCGAAGTTACTTGGCATTTCCCTTCGATGCACACATCCGGGTTCTCGTCGTTGCACCTCGTACCATCCACCACCCGGTCCCTGTGCCTGTAATAGAACCTCTCCCCGCGTGGCATGCAGTTGAGCTCGCACGGATTAGGCGCCTTCGTGTACGGAATCCACCTACAACACCGCGTTAGCTCGTTTTCCCACCAGCAACCCTTTACCTACTGGTAGAGCACCCCGTTGAAGGGCACACTATCGAATTCCCCGCATTGCTGAGCCCTGAAGTCCCCGATATCCGGACAATCCTGAAAATAACCCACAAGATTACGACCGGCGGTGCGATTGTATCTCCAAGAAGGGGGCAGACCTCATTATTAATTGCCGCGTCAGGAGTTATGGGTGAATAATGACCCATTTACTCTTATCGACGCACGTGGGAGCGATCATTGCTCGGAAGCGGTGAGTGGGAAAAATTTTTGAAAACCCGTAAGGTTCGTGGACGTCTCCAATAACTATAATTCATCGAGATAAAATGGGCGACCTTGAACCTGGCTAGAATTTATGAAAGGGTCTGTTGTGCGTTCGGTGAGGAGGAATTTCTTTTTCGAGAGGCCGCCACGTGGTTCAAATAACTAGACACATGATTGAAGCTATTGTCTAAATGTTGATTATGTTAAGCGGGTTATTAACCGTGTAATAGTGATTCGGAGCATTCGGTGCTAACTGGACGTAGGAACTAATTGATTTTATTGTTATGTGATGGGTTTGTTAATGGGAAGGTTGGAACAATGGGCTGGGATGTGTCAATCTTGGATGAATGGAAATATCGCGCTTATTAGTGGCGATAGCGAGAAAAGCTCGAAAAAGTCAATTTCCCGGACGTATTTTTTCTTGCGTGTATATTGTGTTGCCTACCCTATAAAATTGTTGTTAATTAAACACGGATCTTTGTGAATTTTAACATTAAATTTAAACGAAAATAATAACAGACGGGCGTATGGAAGTGACACTAATAACACAGCACGTTCCAATCTTTCAGAGCGACCGACCAATTAAGCAGCCCGATCCTCATCCCTGCAAAAGTTTTAAGATGTTTTCTTTTGATGTGCCGCTTATAAACGGAAGACCTAATAACATCTTGTTCATAAACCGGGCGAAGTAATAACATGGGGCAAAAGAGGTATTTTTAAACTTCCTGTGGCCTAAAATGATAAATTGTGAACTATTTCAATCAATTTTTAAAGTTTTATTTAAATTAGTGCCGGAACTAATTACTGATTTAGGTGACAACAGTGTTTATTTCCCAAGCGATTGAGCTTATCACTGTGATAAAGCCCGACTTCGCTTTCCTATCTTCGACCTCTCATTTCAAGCATTTCACGGCCACTGCTGGAGTCACTTCCCCGCACATCCACATTCTTTTTATTCAAAATTTCGACCACAACCTGTCCACCAGCCTCCTCGCAACGAAAATAGACCTCTGACACAATCCGCACGAAACACCCCCTGTTTATTATCACAATTTTGGCGCCGGGTTTATTTTTCTAGAGCGCGCTTTCTTCTGCCACTGTCTGCTTAATTTTGAGGAAGCATAAGTTTAAACAAACATTGCGAATTCCCATGGATCGGTTTATTTATAATGAAGCGCGGCGCGAGGTCATTGCCTGATCGTCTACCATTCTATAAATAGTTTAATTGTGCCAATGTCTTCGTTTCATTACCTGAGTGTTGCATGAGAAATGTCGGCTGGTAGGCCCTTGGCACGTGTACCCTGGGGTGCACTGCCGCGTCTCGGTGGACACGCCGCCCCCGCAGGACCGCGAGCAAGGACTGGGGGAGGACCAGTCGGACCAAGGGCCCAGATCCGGCCCTTGGCCGCCCTCGTACACGTAACTACCAGCCAGGTACAAGTGCTCGCCCTGCTGCCGTTTGAAGCGGTCCCGGTGGTGCCGGATGCGCTGAAAAGAAAAAGACATTAATCACGGGAAATTGACCCAAGGATGTTTAAACAATTGCTTAGTTTAGGCTAGTACTGTTTGCAAAACCATCAATCATCGCATCCAGATTCCTGTGTTATGTCTGGAAATTGGGTCGCCGCTTTGATGAGTCGAATCTGACAATGGTATTATTCGAGCGACCATCGTTTGCCGTTAGTCTGTAATTTTTATTTGCGCTGGTATGATTTCAGTGACAAAAAACCCATCCATAACTGATGGAACGGAAAATGGAATGCCGCTCTCCGCATAAGGGCGGGCGGTCGTCTAGTCCGCGTCTGGTCTAGCGATTTTTGCCGTTGATTTTATAACTTGGTTGACATTCCAATCAGTTCGAGTTATGGTCTGCTGGATACCCATTGTTGCCGCAATGAAGCTATTAAAGATGGCAATAAAAATTATCAAGGTTAAGGCGGACTGTTATCGGGGTCGGGACGTAACACTGTTGTAACTGGGTGCGCCGTTCTGGTCGCAGTTTTATTATTATTTTTTCGAAAAAAAGACCCATTTTGGTAGTGTGACCAGTCTGTCTGTTGTCTCCAAATAGGAGTCACTTTTTCCTGCTGTGACAATTGTGACATTTCAAATAATTTTTTAAACTCAAGGAGTCATTATTCAAAATTTAAACCCTATTTTGTGAACTGTTTTGTGGTAATACCAGAGTAGTTTTGAATTATTAATTTATTATTACATATTAAAAATTTTAGCATTTTCCATTTTAGTGGTGTCTCTAGACACTCTCTAGACATTAGTCACTTTGTGCCTACTGTGAAAATTTGTGACATTTCAAATTTTTTTCTAACTCGAAAACACCCAATTTTTCAAAAGTGACACTCTTTTTGGTGGACTATTTTGTGAAAAACTGATAATATAAGAGTTTTGTCGATATTACAGTGGTAATAATACCACAAAACGTAAAATTTTTAAATTCGGACAAAAGTGAGGTTATGTAACCAAAAACTACATAAAATAAAATAATTACGTGAGAATTTAGGGTAAAATCGTGCAGTATATTTCTAATACGAGTGTTTTACAATTGCATCTTGCGAATTACAACTGGAGAAGAGGTTATGGTGAAAACTGAAGTACGTCACGGTCCATATGGGTTTGTATTAATTTCCAGAAGCAAAGACAAGAGGACTGCAAGACCGCAGGTAAGTTCTGTCTTAGAGATCGATTATTGATTTTTTCGTTATCCGATTTTTTACTTTCGCTATTTTTTCAACATTTCGGTATTTCAATTTTTTTTTGTTCAATGTTTCATTTTTTCAGTTTTCGATTTTTTAATTTTACAGTTTTTTTGATGTTTGTTTTGACATTCTTTAACTTTTGAGATTTGTCGATTTTTTATTTCTAGAAAATTTTGTTTTCCGTATTTTTCTATTTCTCGATTTTGTTTTTCGATTTTACAGTTTCTTTTTTCAATTTTTCAAATTTTCAGCTGTCGAAGTTTTCAATGTCTCAAGTTTTAAGATTACAATTTTTTTGTTTTTTAAATTTTCAGTTTTTTCATTTTTAAGGTTACAATTTTTCCTTTTCCAATTGTTAACCTCTTAATTATTCGATTTTGAGTTTCTTTATTTTTGCAGTTTTTCGATTTCTCAATTTTTAAATTGTTCGGTTTTTCAGTGTTTCTTTTCCATTTTTCAGTTTTTAATTTTTTGATTTTTCAATTTTTCAGTGTTACAATTTTCCGATTTTTTGATTTTTTAAAATTTCAGTTTTCGTAAATTTGTCCTTTTATTGAGAAATTAAAAAACGTAAAATTGAGAAAGTAAAAAATTAAAAAATGAAGTACATACTTCCAAGTAGGTAATTCCAGATTATTTTGTTTCTTCGATTTTTTTTTTCTCAATTCGAGATTTTTATATTTTTGGTTTTTTTAATTGGTAATTTTTCTATTTTTCCGTGTTTCGGTTTCTCCATTTTTTAGTTTTTTGATTTTCATTATGGAATTGATGCATTTTTCAGTAACATTTTTGTATTTGTCGATTATTTAATTTGTAAATATTTTAATTTTTCTATTTTCTGTCTGTTAAATTTTACAATTTTTCGTTTTTTCGATTTTTCAGTTCCTAGATTTTTAATTTATCACTTTTTCAGATTTCAGTATGTATAACAAATTTTCGATTTTACACTTTTTGATTTTCAATTTTGGATTTTTTTCAATTTACAGTTTTGTAGTTGTTTCATTTTTAAATTTGCCGATTTTTATTTTTTCACTTTTTTCAAATAATTATTGGGGTTTTTATTATTCAAGTTTTGGCTTTTCCATTTGCCGATTTTTCAGTTTCTGTATTTTTTCAATTCTTCGATTTCCCAACTAAAATTTTTCGGTTTTTCAGTGTTTCGTTTTTTCGATGTTACAATTTTTTAATTTTTCCATGTTACGCTTTTACAATTTCTTAATTTTTTAGTTTTGCCGTTTTCATTTTAAAATTTTTGAATTTTGTTTTTTTTTGTATTTTTGATTGTTTAATTTATAGAAGTTTTTGTTTTTCGTTTTTTCAATTTTTCACTTTTTCGATTTTTAATTAATCAGGGTTTTCAGGTTTCAATATTATAATTTTTCGATTTTTCAATTGTTTTTTCAATTATTCCATTGTTCAATTTCTCAATTTTTTCATTTTTCGATTTTTCAATTTTTAAATTTTTCGATATTTCAATATTCATTTTTTAAGTCTCATTTTTTCGGGTTTTTTCAAGTTTTCTTTAATTTTTCAATTCTTCGATTACTTATTCAATTTTTTGATTTTTCCATTAAATTCAAAATTTCGGTTTGAATAAATTTGTCCTTTCGTTGAACAATTAAAAAATGACAAATCGAGAAAATGAAGAAATAAAAATCGAGAATTTGAAAAAAAAATATATCGAAAAATTGCAGACTTGTTTCGTTTGTCGATTTTTCGATTTCTCGATTTTTAATTATCCAATTCAATTTCTGAATTTTTTCATTTTTCGATTTTTCAATTTTTCGATATTTCAAGTTTCATTTTAAAATCTTTGGATTTTGAAATTAAAAATTTTTTGGATTTTTGATTATTTATTTTATAGAAATTTTTGTTTTGCGTTTTCTCAATTTTTAATTTCTGGATTTTTAATTAATCAGGGTTGTCAGGTTTCTATATTACAATTTTTCGATTTTTCAATTGTTTTTTCAATCATCCACTTGTTTAATTTCTCATTTTTACATTTTTCGATTTTTCAATTTTTCTTAAGGTAATTATTTTAATTATTCGACTTCTCAATTTTTAAATTTTTTGATTTTTCAATTTTATAATTTTTAGACGTTTCAGTGTTACAATTTTCTAATTTTTAAACTTTTAAATTTTTCAAAATTCCGGTTTGTATAAATTTGTCCTTTTGTTGAAAAATTAAAAAACAAAAAATTGAGAAAATAAAAGTGCTTCCAAGTAGGTAATTTCAGATTATTTTGTTTCTTCGATTTTTTGATTTCTCAATTCGAGATTTTTATATTTTTGATTTTTTTAATTGATAATTTTTCGATTTTTCCGTGTTTCGGTTTCTCCATTTTTTAGTTTCTTGATTTTCATTATGAAATTGATGCATTTTTCAGTAAAATTTTTGTATTTGTCGATTATTTAATTTGTAAATATTTTAATTTTTCGATTTTATAATTTGCTTTTTCATTTTTTTTTCGGTTTTTCGATTTTTTAGTTCCTAGATTTTTAATTTATCACTTTTTCAGGTTTCAGTGTTACAAATTTTCGATTTTACACTTTTTGTCTTTTTCTCAGTTGTTCCATTTTTGTATTATTTTTTCGTTACCCAATTTTCAGGTGCCAATTTTTTCAATTTTTCGATATTTCAAGTTTGGTTTTTCAATTTCTCATTTCTTTAATTTTTCCATTTTTATTTTTTTTCAAATTTATAATTTTACAATTATTTCATTTTTAAATTTGCTGATTTTTGATTTTTCACTTTTTTCAAATAATTATTAGGGTTTTTTTATTATTCAAGTTTTGGCTTTTCCATTTGCCAATTTTTCAGTTTCTGCATTTTTCGATTTCTCAACTTTTAAATTTTTCGGTTTTTCAGTGTTTCGTTTTTACAATTTCTTAATTTTTTAGTTTTGCAATTTTCATTTTAAAATTTTTGAATTTTGATTTTTTTTTAAATTTTTGATTGTTTAATTTATAGAAATTTTTGTTTTTCGTTTTTTCAATTTTTCACTTTCTCGATTTTTTGATTTTTCAATTCAATTCAAAATTGCGGTTTGAATAAATTTGTACTTGCGTTGAACAATTAAAAAATGACAAATCGAGAAAATGAAGAAATAAAAATCGAGAATTTGAAAAATTTTATATCGAAAAATTTTAGGATTGTTTCGTTTTGTCGATTTTTCAATTTCTCGATCTTTAATTATTTATCCAATTCAATTTCTCAATTTTTTCATCTTTTCAATTTTTCGATATTTCAAGTTTCATTTTAAAATCTTTGGATTTTGAAATTAAAAATTTTTGTATTTTTGATTATTTAATTTATAGAAGTTTTTGTTTTTCGTTTTTTCAATTTTTCACTTTCTCGATATTTAATTAATCAGGGTTTTCAGGTTTCCATATTACAATTTTTCGATTTTTCAATTATTCCATTGTTCAATTTCTCAATTTTTTCATTTTTCGATTTTTTAATTTTTAAATTTTTCGATATTTCAAGATTCATTTTGCATTTTTTCAATTCTTCGATTTCTAAATTTTTTGATTTTTCAATTTAATTCAAAATTTCGCTTTGAATAAATTTGTCCTTTCGGTGAACAATTAAAAAATGACAAATCGGGGAAATTAAGAAATAAAAATCCAGAATTTGAAAAATTTTATATCGAAAAATTGCAGAATTGTTTCATTTTGTCGATTTTTCAATTTCTCGATTTTTAATTAATCAGGGTTTTGAGGTTTCAATATTACAATTTTTCGATTTTTCAATTTTTCGATATTTCAAGTTTC